GGTACTGGGGCCAGGCGGACCGCCGAGCTGTCACCGCCGGCGGCTTTTAAAGGACTCCGCGCGCACCAGGGCGCAGCGGCCGCCTCAGGCTCCTCCTCTTCCTCACCCTCCCAGCGGTGGCGGACAGGGCGGGAGCAGAGAGAGCTGGAGACAACGCAACGTCTTGCGCACTCCTCGCCGCCTGACGCTCTCTGCCCGGGACCTGCGCGTTTCACGGCCCCCAGACGCTGGAAATGCAGGCACTATCCCGAGTGCAGGGAGCCTCTCGCCGGGCTATCCCTGAACCCTCCTCCACCCTGCAGAGGCGACCCTGAGTCAATAGATGAGTGAACCTGAGATCAGAGTTAGGAGCTGGGGGACGAAAGAAAGAGGGAAAACTGCAATCCGTAGGATCTTTCTGCAACAGTGGGAGGGAAATTCCTGCCAAATGTTGCCTTTTATTTTCAAAAGGTGATGAGGGGTGACAATATTAGGGGGAAGGGGATGGGGAGAGCTCAGAGTTAGTAGCAGTACAAGGGAACTGTAGTCACTTTGACCAGGCTCCAGATCTATGAAGGCCCTGGAGGCAGTAGTTGTTTGCACCTCTGCTGGCACGAGTTGCATTGACTCATCAGCGAACACTCCTCCGTAAGCATTCCATGGGCTAGGACAGTGGTCGGCAAACTGCGGCTGGTGAGCCACATGCGGCTCTTTGGCCCCTTGAGTGTGGCTCTTCCTAAGCTTTAGGAGTACCCGAATTAATTACAATGTACCTACCTATATAGTTTGTTAAAAAAATTTAGCTCTCAAAAGAAATTTCAATCGTTGTACTGTTGATATTTGGCTCTGTTGACTGAGTTTGCCGACCACTGGGCTAGGAGGCTGGAAGCTCTGGCTCAGGACCTATGCACTTGAGTCATGCATGTGCTTCACTATTCATTCCAGTACTGACTTCCAGGTGTAAAGTGGAGTTTAGAGTGAGGTGGAGAGTGGAAGGAAGAGAACACAAAAGAGAACTATGGCCTGATTATGGGTTTCTGGGCCCACCCTGTCAAGGCAGAGCCATGGGAGTTTATCCTTGCAGGATGTAAGACCTTATGCTTCTGGCCTCCTGCATTCCAGCCTCTTATGTCCAATTGCCTATTAGACACCCTTACTCACCCCTCCTTCTATCCTGGTTGTATTAGCTTTTGCTGCATTAAAAAAAAACAACTGGCTTAAAACAATGACCCCTCATATTTGCTCACATGTCTAAAGACCAATGGGGTGGTTATCCTACACTACGCCAGGCTCAGCTGATCTTGGTTGGCTTTCAGGCATCTGCAGAGAGCTGACAGGGCTTGAGGAACTGGCATCATCCTGCAGCTGGCTGTCAGTCAGCTGTGATGAGGGAGGGACAATAATTGAGTCACATGTCTCTGCTTATCAAGCAGGCTGGCCAGGGCTTGTTCTCATGGTGGCTGAGAAGGGTTCCAAGAGAGGGATTAGAAGTGGAAAAGGCCCATTGAGACCTAGGCTCAGAGGGGAACCCATCACCTCTGCTTTTTGTTGGCCAAAGCAAGTCACAATGCCAGCTCAAATTCAAGAAGTAGGGAGAAAGACTCCACTCCTTGGTGGAGGGAGGTGCAAAGGCACATTTGAAAAGACTGGGATGCCAGGAGGGGTAAACAATGGATCCATTTTTTGCAGTTGACCACAGTAATGAATGTGCCTCCATCACCCAGTAGCCCATCCTTGACTCTCACTTCCACAATTGCCAACTTCCATAATTTCTACTGCCTCCATTTCTTGGTGTCTCCTCCTCTCCACCCCTACTGCTCTCATTTCTCAATTGAAGAATCCTGAATAATCTTGAAGGAACTGATTGTGAGTAGTTTATTTGTTCCTCCATTAGGGAAGCTTCCTCTGACCACTGCTACCACCCATACGCTTATTTCCCATTTACTCTCAGGGCTCACTCAAGTGTCAGTACTTTCTGGTGGAATATTTGCTTCATGTCTGTCTCCAGGAGGGCAGGGACTCTAGCTTGTGTCTTTAATACCAAGCACATAGTGGTAACCTGGGACTTACAAGCTCTTGAATAAATGTTTGTTCACTGATAGACTTTCTGAACAAATGGTGTCTTCACTGTATGAACTGGAAAAGACAGAAATCATTATCCCAGTACCTTAGTTTTGAGAGTAACCTGTTCGCAGGAGCTAGTGTTCCAGGAAATGTCCTGGGATGAACTGCCATATTTCAGTTGTACTGACTTTTGGCTGTTCACAAGGCAATCCCCTTGTTAAACTTCAGTTTAACTGGAAAGACTTGAAGCAGAGCACCTCCTTCCCTGACTGGGGAAAAGGCACCCATAAAGAGAGTTACTATTTATAGAACAACTTTGAAACTATTAGCTCCCAGGGGTCCTTGAGCAGTTCAGTGATAGGGGTCTGATTTGTTGTCTCTCCGATTTTCTTGGCCTTTCCTTCCTGGACACAAATGGCTCCTGCTTCCCCAAACATTAAGTCTTCATTCAAGCAGGGAGGGAGGGCCTCTGTCTTTTCTTATTGTGAAATAATCCTCAGAAGAACCCAGCAGACTTTCTCATATCCCAATGACCAGAACTAAGAAGCTGGAAGTTCATACAAGTATCTAGCAAAAAAGACTGGAATTGCTGACTAACTTGATCATAGTTCTTCCCCAGGGGCTACACTAGACAGTTGCTACCTGTTAAAATTCAAGGAATAGACAGGGGATCTATGTTGAGCAGCTGTCAATGTGATCTGCCACAAATACTTCACATTCCTGGAGTCTAAATGCAGACCTTTCTAGGGAAAAGCCATTTCTTGGCTGAATCTTGGGCTTATCTCTTCACTTCATTCCGTTATACATTCCCAGTCAGGCAATAAAATCATTCAAGTTTAAGGTCACTCAATAAGGAAGAGTCCTAAAACTGTTCTCTGCCGAGGTGACAATTGCATTCCATTTTGCATTTACCTGGCAACTTTGCTAGGTGAGCTCAAAATGTTATTCCACTTTCCTCGGAAAGCTCTTTGCATTTGCAAGTAATAATCCATGACTTTTTAATGCAGATAATATATTACTGAACTGTGAAATTATAAATAGCCTTGTGTAAATTGTTCTGCTTGTTTTTCATTTGGATTTTTGTCTAGCTATGTAAATTGTGTGACTAACATAACAGGCATGCTGAAGTGGTTTTAGAAAGATAATAGAAATGTGTAGGCAAACATGGATACACAAGTCCATGGGTGTTCAGAATGAGTGTGAAGGACAGAATTTGGAATATGCAAACATCACTAGGCTTAGAAAGTTATTAACCCTTTACCAGCTAAATAAGCTTGATTTCTAGACCTCAGGCAAAACTTTGCCAAGGACTGTCCTCTACTAGTTCAAGAACATCCCTTCCCCCCAGCCCTGGTTGGGTGGCTAAGTTGGTTGAAGCATAATCCCATACACAAAAAAGGTTGTGGGTTTGATTCCTGATCAGGGCACAAACCTAGGTTTCAGGTTTGATCTCCTTTCAGGGTGCTAAAGGGAGGCAACGATGTTTCTCTCCTTTTCTCAACATATCCTCAGGTGAGGGTTAAAAAAAAAAAAAGAAGTCCCTCTAATCACCATCCGTAGAATTCAGTATCAATTACCTTTCCTGTATAGCCTAAATCAGGGGTCCTCAAACTTTTTAAACAGGGGGCCAGTTCACTGTCCCTCAGACCGTTGGAGGGCCGGACTATAGTTTAAAAAAAAACTATGAACAAATTCCTATGCACACTGCACAAATCTTATTTTGAAGTAAAAAAACAAAACGGGAACAAATACAATATTTGTATTTGCATGTGGCCCGCGGGCCATAGTTTGAGGACCCCTGGCCTAAATCCTTGAATATTACTATGCTTATAGGAGACCCAGAGACTATCTTTTGGTACTTTCCCCGGAATAGGAATTATGCTTCCGTCTTGTACCAACTCCCTACTTTATTTCAACTGTCAAAATAATTGAAAATCTACTCTGTAAGGCTGTTAAGTGCTGGTACAAAACACAAAGAACAGCTAAGTTTCTATTATAAAACATTTACTGAAAGGACAATAAAGTACATAAGATACCCCTGTCTGCCATCACAGACATCCCTATAAAGTTTATTATCATTCATAAATTAGTTGAATTAACAAAAAATTCTAAATCTTAATTCTTCCTTAATCTTAATTAACCCTATGAAATTGGTGAAATATCTTCTAAATTGAGGTTCAGACAAGCTTAGTAATTTATCCAAAGTCAGAGTCATTTAGTAGTAGACAATCCAACCCCTGATTTCAAATCTTGGTGCTGAAATCCAACATGGAAAGCACTCTGGTCATGTAAATGGAATGACAAAGCAGGTTGAACTTAATCTGAACCTACTCTTTTAGGAGCAAAATATCCAATCACATCTTCACTTAAGCTAAGCCATCACCTCACTTGGTAGAGACAGTAAAGAGTACCCTTTTGCCATTTCTTTTCCAATCCAAATGATTTCCATAAATTCTATTCTTGCTAGGAAAGTGGGTATGAAAGCATTTCCCTACACATTTCCCAGCCTTTTGCATTTGGGGCTTTGTGAGATGGCCTGTCAATTGCTCCTCATTCCACACTTTAGCTGTTTGAAAAGCATTACAATGCAGAAACTTGGCTGGATACTTATCCATTCCTCGATACACTTTCCACCTCAACAGGAACTGCTGCAGATGCCGCCTCATTGTTATTATTCATAACCAAGCAATTTGTCTAACAGATTAGGTGTTTTGCATGAACAATTTTTTTTCCCTTTAAGTGGGGCTGAGTTGAAGAAATGCTATAAACATGCATATTTCAAATAAATTCAACTTAAAATTCTCATGCTAAAAAAAAATGAAAAGCCTGCCTTGTTTATATCTTAGCAATTCTTATTGCTATTTAGCAATGTTTTATATTTTAGCATTTTTTCCATCCCAGTCCAGAAAAAATGCTAATGTACATTAGTGGGAATATATTAGAGACAGGAAATCAAGTTGAAATATTTAGCCACAATTTTTAGAGGACTTCAAAAAGAGTGTGCTATATTTTATTCAACCCTTGGAATTGGGTTCAACTTAAAAACAGAAGGTCTTAAAAGATACCTGGCAAGATCAGAATTAAAAGTTCAAGTAGCCATGCAACTTCCTTTACAGTCTTGACTCTTAGAACAGGGTGAAAAGTTCTATAGTTAGAATACTTTTCTTCATTCTCAACAAGTGTAAGAAAAGGGAATTGTATAGTACAGGATTTATAAATTTACAATCTGTAATGATTACTCATTTAAAAGAACCTGAATTTCAAGGCAAGGTACATAATCCTAGCACACACATACATTACTCAAAACTCAGGGACTTTAACTGAATTCATCTAATAAAACTTTGCAAACTAATCTCTTTATTTGCAGGACACTCAGATGTAGCTGCCCAAGAGTTGTAAATATCAATCGACCTTCAGAGTGAGCTCTGAAATCTGAGTGTCAAGTGTATTAGGGATGACTATGACAGAAGTCAGTGGTTCTCAAACTTGAATATGCATCTTAATCGCCCAGAGCTTAAGTGCTGGGCCCCAACCCCAGAATTTGACTCAAGTTGTTCTGGTACAGGTCTGCATGTTTATGCAGCCAGTTGGGGACCCATACTTTGTGAACCACTGGCTTAGAACTCTACTCGTAATGAAATTATAGACAGATGTGAAACATTAAGAATCCAGAGAGGGAAGTGAGACATGTTTAAGAACTGGGAAGAAGTATGGCAGAAACCTCTGGAACTCTGGAAGAGGAAAAAAAAAATTGGCAAATATTTAGGGATAAAGTCAAATTAAAAAGCCTCTAATTTAATTATCAAGTGTTTGATAAACTTTTGAGTAAGTTTCATTGGAGTGGTGGAAGCAGAGCCATATTTGCAGTGGAACTAGGAAATTAAGATACCAGAGAAAGGCACAGGAAAAACTGCTCATTTTATTTGCTGCTTTTCAAAAGTCTGTATGCTAAAGTTAAGGAAGCAGCAAGTGGAAAGGGTCAGACACCAGAGATCAGAAATAATCAGTGAAAACATAAGGCAGAAACAAGAGGCCTATTAGTACCAACTCTTCCCTCTGCTGTCCTACACTCTTTGATACCTTATTTTGCCTTGAAATAGCTAGACAAGATATTCAGGAAATGCAATTTTAAAATACACAAAGTGAGACACATTAGAGTTAAAAATGATTTTAACTGGACACAGTAGTGCCATCAAAGATTGGAAAACAGCTCTAGCTGGTTTGGCTCAGTGGGTAAGAGCATCAGCCTATAGACTGAAAGGTTCTGGGTTCAATCCCAGTTAAGGGCACATGCCTGAATTGCAGGCTTGATCCCCAGTAGGGGGCATGCAGGAGGCAACCAATCCATGATTCTCTCTCATTATTGATGTTTCTCTCTCTCCCTCTCTGAAATCAATATTTTTTTAAAAAAAGATTGGAAAACATTAAACAGGAATGTCAATTGAAGCAATTCATAATGTTCCTGGTTGCTTTCTGTGATAGTGAATTGTTGACCAATATAAGCATGTTTAAACACAACTTTCTATCCATAGATGTAAACCTGTTTAGGGCAAATACCCAATTGACTTATGTTAGGTATTCAATGAAATTCAAAACCAGGTTTGCTGGATTCCAAAGTAGACCCATTACCATCACACTTCACTGGAGAAAACTGAAGGCCGCTAATATTGGGCTTACTACCCATTTATAGCACTAACTTAAGTTACACAAATGAATAGGTTCTTGTCATTGAGTCTATTAGGGAAGAGAATACTCAGAGGAACGTCAAGGTTTCCATGTCAAATAAACTGATACTATTGCTACAGGGATCACAGAATACTGAAGGCAGCTAGGATAGGATGTCATCAATTCTTTTTTGGATGTTTGCCATATCCAAGTAAATATCTAGAAAGAAACAGAATTAACTTAAATGTGCTCCAACTACACAAAGTAGCTTTAAAATGTTCCCATTTATATGAAGCAATAGAACACCAGAGATTAAGACCGGGTTACGGAGCCAGGCTGCCTAGGTTTGAATCTGCAGCCTTGGGCAAGTTGTGCCTCAGCTTTCTTTTATGGAAATTGAGCAAAACATGTAAAGTGCTTAGAATGCAACACATTAACTGCTACATAAATGTTTATCTTCGGCTGAAATAAAAAAAGGGATTCTAGTTCCAAATTATCAGACACTATTTTTTCTGAGCCAAGTTTCATGAAAAGTGGAAGCAACTCAGAACTAGTATGTAACTCACAATGAAGAGGGTAATTTGAAACCATCTATTTCTAAGTAGCAGGCTTCAAAGGCAAGTTTCTAATCCTTAACATAGGATACTTAGATAATTATCTAAGTAATCAATTTTCCTTGAGCTTAACTATAATGCAACAGATGCAGCTTCCTAACCAATGGAGTACATTCTTTGTTGCAAAGTAAACCACCTCACATCTTTCAGCAAAAACCCCCCACTAAATTCAAATAGTAAGACATCACCCAATGAATTAGGACACAAAAGTTTTTTTCGTTTATTGATTGGCTGCCTCCTGCACGCCCCCTACTGGGAATTTAGCCCACAACCCCGGGCATGTGCCCTTGACTGGAATCGAAACCGGGACCCTTAGGATCGCCGGCTGTCTATCCACTGAGCCAGTTAGGGTGACACAAAGTTTTCAATTATTCTTTGCGGGGGAGGGATGCCACACTTCTACTCAATTAAGAGGAACATTTTTATCAGCACAGAAGTCTTTTTTATTTTTTCCCACTTATCATGCCATGAATTCATAGGGAATGGGTTCCAGCAGCTCAGGCTCCTTTCCATTGGTTCTCACAAAGTGTGCTTCTCTGGGTGGAGCAGGCTATTAAAAACAAATGAAAACAAGGCAATGGAATAATTATGTTAAGAACTGTAACTCAATTTCAAAGGTCTCTCAGAACCAATGAGGTAACATATCTACTCAATGCTTTAACTTCACTAACTTTCATATAAAAGAAAATTATCACTGAGCAAATTTCACAGTTGTCATGATCAACCAAAAAACCCTTGTCAAGCACTCACCTGACGCTTCAGTTGAACCCAGGTACCTTTCTCTTTGGCTTCCTTCTTTTTCTGATCATTTTCCTTCACACGTTTCAGGAAGCTATCTCGGCTCTTAGAGTGCTTAATATGCTCAATACGTACATTAATTCTCTTGGCAAGAATCTTGCCCCTGGAGAAAACAGAAATTCTTATAAATGCTTCATAAAAAATATAACCAAATTAAAAAAAAACAACTCTTTTGGCAGTTTCATTTATGAAATAAACCATGAACCCTTTACCCACAGATAGGACAAGTTAACAGACCCCAAAACACTAAATAACTTAACCAAAACCAGATCGCTAATAAAATTTGTAACTTTTTATATTTTGGAAACTAGAACTGCCTAATACCAAATCCTGTAAGTCTATTTTGTTTCCTCTGACAGGATACAAAACACCCCGTTTGCTTGAGTTTTAAAAGGACATTTCCTTTGCCCCACTTGAATGACCAATAAGACATAAGTCCAATTGGCAAAGTGAAAAGGGGGTGTGAGGGAATACGAATCAAAGAATTATTACTTACTTAACTTGCTTGTTCACAATAATGCCCACTGCATGCTGGGTGACATTGTAGACTCTTCCAGTTTTGCCATGGTAACATTTGTGGGGCATTCCTTTTTGAACAGTGCCCATTCCCTGTTAAGAAAGGAGATAAACATCACCTCAGCAAGTGCCTCCTCCTTTTAAACCCTGACTTTCATTAAAGTAACTAAAAGATTTTTCTCTTTTAAATGGCAACTCAAGAGCTTTCAGAGCCGGTGAAATGCATTTTTCACGTTGCTTTGAGCAATCAAAAAGGCAATCATCATTAAGCTCCAGAGTGCCAGAATACATTCAAATATGGCTCTCAAAAGAACATAGCTTTCGCTGGTTTTATTAGTAACCCCCATCAATAATTAAACTCTGCACTAAGGTGTCCCTTTTCACCTCAATAAATTCTCATGATTATATCTCCTATATTTTTCTACTTGCTGTTAACAAATAAAAAAACTGGCTTTAAAAGTAAAATTAAATTAGCTGTTCAAAGGCAATGGATTTTCCCCCATGTAGGAGGATAAAAAGAGCCAACAGGTGTACTATACACTAGTATTTGTTCTTATGTTAGACTAAATCCAACTTTTCTTTTAATGGTATTTCCCCAATTTTACCTTGATGTCCACAATGTCACCTTTCTTGTAGATTCGCATGTATGTGGCCAAAGGAACAAAACCACGGATCTAGGGGGTTGGAGTAAACAGAATTTTCAATGTTTAACTTCATCCTGACTTTTCAACTATGATGATGTTTTTTCTATTAAAAATAAAAATATATATATATTTTTATTGATTTTAGAGAGGAAGAGACAGAAACATTGATGGGAGAGAAACTTCCAATGGCTGCCTCCTGCACCCCATTACTGGGGATCAAGCCCGCAACCTGGGCGTGTGCTCTGACTAGGTATTGAACCAGCGACCACTTGATGCATGGGAGGATGCTCAATCCACTGAGCCACTCCAGCCGGGCAGTTATGTACATTTTTATTTTAAAATATATTTTTATTGATTTCACTGATCAGCTGCCTCCTGTACACCCCCTACTAGGGATCGAGCCTGCAACCTGGGCATGTGCCCTTGACCGGAATTGAACCTGGGACCCTTCAGTCCACAGGCCAAGGCTCTTATCCACTGAGCATTAAACTCTGCACTAAGGTGTCCCTTTTCACCTCAATAAATTCTCATGATTATATCTCCTATATTTTTCTACTTGCTGTTAACAAATAAAAAAACTGGCTTTAAAAGTAAAATTAAATTAGCTGTTCAAAGGCAATGGATTTTCCCCCATGTAGGAGGATAAAAAGAGCCAACAGGTGTACTATACACTAGTATTTGTTCTTATGTTAGACTAAATCCAACTTTTCTTTTAATGGTATTTCCCCAATTTTACCTTGATGTCCACAATGTCACCTTTCTTGTAGATTCGCATGTATGTGGCCAAAGGAACAACTCCTAAAAATAGTGATATCAAGATTAAAAAAGTCGAGTCAAAGAAATATAACCTCACTAGTTTTCAACACACTCCCACCTTTGACAGTGTAAATTTTATTTTAAATATATATACTTTTTTATTGATAGTAGAGAGGAAGAGACAGAAACATTGATGGGAGAGAAACTTCCAATGGCTGCCTCCTGCACCCCATTACTGGGGATCAAGCCAACCTGGGCGGCGTGTGCTCTGACTAGGTATTGAACCAGCGACCACTTGATGCATGGGAGGATGCTCAATCCACTGAGCCACTCCAGCCGGGCAGTTATGTACATTTTTATTTTAAAATATATTTTTATTGATTTCACTGATCAGCTGCCTCCTGTACACCCCCTACTAGGGATCGAGCCTGCAACCTGGGCATGTGCCCTTGACCGGAATTGAACCTGGGACCCTTCAGTCCACAGGCCAAGGATCTTATCCACTGAGCAAAACCCACTAGAGCAGTGGTCACCAACCGGTGGTCCGTGATGTCTGAAAGGTTGGCGACCGCTGCTCTAGGGCATATATACATTTTTAAATCTTGCTAGTTGACAATGTGAGAACTGCTATATAAAATTCATGCTTTTTATTACAAAATTAAGTTAGGTAGGTGGTTAATTGCTACTAGAATACATTATATTATCTGCATCTCAAGTGTGTTAGCATAGCACAAATGTATACCACCATGGTTGATTTCAAAGAGGACAAATCTACTTACCATGTTTTCTAAAAGGCCTAGAGAACATATAGCGGGTGCCTCTCCTCTTTCCCTTTGTGTTAGTCATTTTGGCGAATTACTGAAACCAGAAAGTACAAAATAGTCAAATATAACTGCAAAACTGTTACTAGCCCCTTTAACCAAAAACCCCGTAATTTTAAATGGTTGCATCTCAGTAGCAATGCCAGAATTGGAAAACGATCGAAAAAGCTGGCTCACGAACAAGTATTTCTTACAAAGGTAAAAACCATCATTTTAGCAAGTAAGATCTTTGCCAAACCTGCCCAAGTTCTGTAACATTAAAACTCCTTAAGTAGAACTGGATTTTAGGAACCAAAGCAGTACTTTGCCTGTTAAAAAAATGTAAAAACACAACATGACCTCTACCACACTACTACCTGTAGAACCCAGCCTAGAATGCCAAGGGCATTGGAATTGTTAACTACAAGATAGTTTATTGTTGGAAAGCATAACAACTCAGCCTTGCATTTTTACGTTGTGGATTAAACCCCCTTTACAGCAAACCTAATCTTTGTGTGACTGTATCTCTTGTACAAAAATCTATTCACTGCCCAAAATCTCCCTCTCCATATTTCTGACTGTTCACACAATTGTTTACTAGGTAATGTATGTAAGGGAGAAAAATAGATTTTATAACCACTGACCTAATTTTGACAAAGGTTCTGCCACCTACTTTCTGGGAGACCTACATTTACTCCCAGGTTCTCGCTTTTAACATGGGGCTAATACTATTTTGACAAGGAATTGAGGTAATGGCTACAAAGCACTCAGCAATTCCCAACACATGCAAAGTGCTTACTAGTAAATGGTAGTTAACTAATCAGTCTAAGAATTCCTCTATAGGCATTTAGAATGGAACCTTTCACTTTGCTTCCCAAAAGATGTCAATTGTTTCAGGTCATCTAAGGACAGAATTACCATTGCTGACAATGACTGCAGGCAAAATATGCCCAAGTCCGGTTTCACTTGTTGACAGAGTTCTAACATAAACTGGTCTCTTAACACTCCTCAATCCTAAAGATAAATGACTCCACCAGAGGACCCTCTCGTGGGGCAAGGAGACCCAAAACAGTTAACCTAACCACCAAAGCCAAACAAACCAGTGTTACAACAAACGCACCCTTTAACTTTAAAAAGCAACTAAGTATAAGTGACAGGTACCCGGTTTTCATTTTCAAAATATTAAGTTCACATAAACTTGTGTTAAATTCATCAACAAGGAAAGTTGCTCAAAGTGGCAGAATCAGTCATGGGAGTAATATCTGATTCAAGCCCATGCTGCTTGCACCAGACTCATCTTCCCGCATAAGAAATCCATTTTACATCACGGCCCAATACACCCAAGTTCCAAAACTGGAACCCACTACGGGGTGCAACCTGCAGTTTGCTCACCGCTGGTAGCGGGCAGCTACTACCTACAAACCAGACAAAAGGAAATTATTTGGGTCGCGACCCCTTTGGCGGTCGAAGGACCCTTTCACAGGGATCGCCTGAGACCATCCTGCATATCGGATATTTACATTACGATTCACTAACAGTAGCAAAATTACAGTTATGAAGAAGCAACGAAAATAATTTTATGGTTGGGTCACAACATGAGAATCTGTATTTAAAGGGCCAGAAGGTTGAGAACCACTGATTAGCGGGTTCTCAGTAACCTTTCCCCCAAACTTCTAAATGAGACAAGTTATTCGGGAGTCCATTCATTCAACACAAGATGCCCCAGCATTAACAAAACAAAGTCTGAAACAAAATGTTTTCCTTTCGTCCAACTGCGACCCGGGGCCAAAATTAAAAAACGGAAAGTCATTTGATGCATCAAAGACGAGTGGTCTGGGATTCACTATCCAGGTCGACACAGTTCGAACCTATTTCGTCGTCCGGCCACGAGGCTTTCACACACAACCAGGTCTCACCGGAGTTAAACCCGTTCCAACCATCCCGCAGCCCCAAACCGACAGCGTTACAAGTGTTAAGTAATAGATGAGGGGGAAACACCGCATGGAAAAGTTTAAAAGCCATCACACCACGCGGCCCGACCCCACAAAGCCTGTCCGAGAAGGCCCAGGACGGCGGAGCGAAGCCGTGGGGACAAAGATTTTGAGTTTCTTTCCAGACCGACCCGAGTCGCCTCAGGCAGGTGATGCGGCCTCGTTGTTCCCGAGCCCGACCCCTGCTAGGCCGCGGCACCC